GTGAGTAGTGAGTAGTGAGTAGTGAGTAGTGAGTAGTGAGTAGTGAGTAGTGAGTAGTGGGTAGTGAGTAGTGAGTAGTGAGTAGTGAGTAGTGAGTAGTGAGTAGTGAGTAGTGAGTAGTGAGTAGTGAGTAGTGAGTAGTGAGTAGTGAGTAGTGAGTAGTGAGTAGTGAGTAGTGAGTAGTTAGTAGTTAGTAGTTAGTAGTAGTTAGTAGTTAGTAGTTAGTAGTTAGTAGGTAGTAGTTAGTAGTTAGTAGTTAGTAGTTAGTAGTTAGTAGTTAGTAGTAGTGAGTAGTCAGTAGTCAGTAGTCAGTAGTCAGTAGTAGTAGTTGTTGTTGTAGTAGTAGTAGGGGAGGCCGGCGGGCAGGACGGCGCAAAAATGCATTGCATTGCTTGGTCATGAAACAAAAACTACCACGCTTATATGGGATTACTGTTTGGGATCTACGGCCGCTGGTTTCTTGCTGTTGGGGATATTCTTTGGGTTTATTTCTTTCGATTTTCTACTGGATGTTTGGAATACCCGCGAATACTTACGTACGAACCATAGTCGCAGATTGGCACACGGGCATTGGCTGACGGGATTTTGCCCCAACAACACCGCGAATTCATTTGGGAGGACCTCCAAACCATGGGATCCACCAAGAATGCCCACTGCGTGGGAGGTTTGGGTTCCAATTTTGAGATACCGCCATAAAGGCAATGAAACAACCAGAAATGGATGACATGAAACAGAGCCGGCTGGAGTTTTTTTGCGAAGGTGGGCCGTCTTGCTTCTCAGGCGCTGGGTGCGGTGCACGTGGCAGGAATCATCTGGGTTTGTCAATGAGGAATCCCTCCAAATGACAATTTTAAAGGTCACGGTCACAGTTAATAAAAATCATGATAACTCATTGACTCATTGAACTTTAGGTACTCGATATTTTCAGACCTGTGTGAGCTTGTGTGTACCTTGTTGGACCTATCCCCATCGGAGATCCCTAGTTGAGGAGAGCCAGCACGCAACAAGTTTGTTTGTTGGATGCACCGCCACGTATTCACTGTGGTGGGTCTTGGATGCTATTTACACACACATGTTTACTGTATACATACATTACATTACATTACATTACATCACATTACATTACATTACATTAGATTACATTACATTACATACATACATACACTAGACAAGAATGGATCATTATATGATCCGGCAGGAACTGAATCCTGAAACATGCAGATTAGACAGGAGCCGAATTAATATACGATATATATATATAGATCACAGTGGACAATGACAGTATAAAACAACAGCGAAAAATATATCATGTCCCCCCAGCTGCGTCTTAAATGCGCCCAGGGCGGGACAGGCAGGTACGTTTACCTGATCTCCAGTGTGGAGCTTCGTTGGCAGAGGCCACAACTGGAGATCCCTCTGCCCCCTGCCATATATAATATAATATAAGGACGAAGTTTTACGTCTATTCAGACGATACACACACACCCTGCCTCCGGCAGGGTGGTGCGCGTAAAAATGAGATGAAAGTGAGGATGAACGGGGGATGAAAATGAGATGAGAGTGACAATGAGATGAACGTTACTTAACCAGGACGCGAAGAGGGGAACGCAAAAGAAGAGGGAAGGAGCAAACACACACCAACACACCTAGCCCGGAGCGGGCGAACCCTGAAAAGGCAAGGGAAAAGAAAAAAGCGGAGGGTCGACGGACACGGACCAAGACCAGCGGAGGGGGGGGAAGACGGAAGCGCCTGAACCAACCTGCCAAAGCGAAAACCTACAAAACCTCAGCACGCGACGGAACCAACCTACCTGGGGAGGGAGGAGAGCATGAGATAGGGGACCAATGGGGAACTAGTTAGTGAAAAACAAAACCAAAAACAGGATTCAGTCCCTAATTTCCTAAATGTCGTGCGATTATTCCCTGCACCGGGACCGTGGTCAAGTCTTGCCCCAATTGGCATATAACAGCTTTCAAAGTCCAGCGAATTAGGTGCACAACATGTTTCACCTCACCAGACAACCATCAAAAGGAAAAAGACCACACCTGAAAGACATGAGCCTGCCTGATCCAGTTTCATGTAGTGTTGCCAAATGTCGCTGTGAAATTGCTGCAAAATAAGAGGTTTCTGAATGTTCGGCACAACTTCACTCAGTAGAAAAGAATTTCACAAGGATCTCAAGGGACGACAGGAGCCGCGGGACATCGCAAAATGGTGCATAACCGTAAGGCAAGCTGTTGCACTTTACTTAAACGAATTACCAAATTAAAATGTGTGAATTCAGAATTCAGGTCAGTCGACATTCACCCTAAACAGGGTTGCCTCAATTGGCCCTATGGCACCATGTCGGAGTCACCATAGGAATCACACTAGACAAGAATGGATCATTATATGATCCGGCAGGAACTGAATCCTGAAACATGCAGATTAGACAGGAGCCGAATTAATATACGATATATATATATTTATATAGATCACAGTGGACAATGACAGTATAAAACAACAGCGAAAAATATATCATGTCCCCCCAGCTGCGTCTTAAATGCGCCCAGGGCGGGACAGGCAGGTACGTTTACCTGATCTCCAGTGTGGAGCTTCGTTGGCAGAGGCCACAACTGGAGATCCCTCTGCCCCCTGCCATATATAATATAATATAAGGACGAAGTTTTACGTCTATTCAGACGATACACACACACATACATACATACATACATCCATCCATCCATGCATGCATACATACATACATACATACATACATACATACATACACACACACATACATACACACACACATACATACATACATACATACATACATACATACACACACACATATATATATATGTACATTTAGGTACACATGTACAATCTCTATCTATACACCTCCAGATATCTTCAAATAGTATATCAGACTTCATACATGGATATAATATATAGTATAGACATGTACGGATCATATACGTGTAAACGCTTAGATATACACGTACATATAGATACGTACATAAAGCGAACAGATATGTATACATAGCTATAATGTATGGTCTACCTACTTATGTACTATTCACATTTCGCATTGGAACTGAATAGTTACTGCCACAAACATCACTTCTCAAAAAAGATCTGTAGTTTACATGCATACATGCATACATGCATACATACATACAGGCAGGCAGACAGGCAGACAGACATACATACATACAGGCAGGCAGGCAGACAGACATACAGACAGGCAGGCAGACAGACAGACATACATACAGGCAGGCAGACAGACAGACATACATACAGGCAGACAGACATACATACAGGCAGGCAGGCAGACAGACAGACATACATACAGGCAGGCAGGCAGACAGACAGACATACATACAGGCAGGCAGGCAGACAGACATACATACAGGCAGGCAGGCAGACATACATACAGGCAGGCAGACAGACAGACATACATACATACAGGCAGGCAGACAGACATACATACATACAGGCAGGCAGGCAGACAGACATACATACATACAGGCAGGCAGGCAGACAGACATACACATACAGGCAGGCAGGCAGACAGACATACATACATACAGGCAGGCAGACATACATACATACAGGCAGGCAGGCAGACAGACAGACATACAGGCAGGCAGGCAGACATACATACATACAGGCAGGCAGACAGACATACATACATACAGCAGACAGGCAGACAGACAGACATACATACAGGCAGGCAGACAGACAGACATACATACAGGCAGGCAGGCAGACATACATACAGGCAGGCAGGCAGACATACATACATACAGGCAGGCAGGCAGACAGACATACATACATACAGGCAGGCAGGCGCACAGACATACATACATACAGGCAGGCAGGCAGACAGACATACATACAGGCAGGCAGGCAGACAGACATACATACAGGCAGACAGACATACATACATACAGGCAGGCAGGCAGACAGACATACAGGCAGACAGACAGACATACATACAGGCAGGCAGGCAGACATACATACATACAGGCAGGCAGGCAGACAGACATACATACATGCAGGCAGGCAGACAGACATACATACAGGCAGGCAGACAGACATACATACAGGCAGGCAGGCAGACAGACATACATACAGGCAGGCAGGCAGACATACATACAGGCAGGCAGACATACATACAGGCAGGCAGACAGACATACATACAGGCAGGCAGACAGACAGACATACATACATACAGGCAGGCAGACAGACATACATACAGGCAGGCAGACAGACATACATACATACAGGCAGGCAGACATATATACATACAGGCAGGCAGGCAGACAGACATACATACAGGCAGGCAGGCAGACAGACATACATACAGGCAGACAGACATACATACAGGCAGGCAGACAGACATACATACATACAGGCAGACAGACATACATACATACAGGCAGGCAGACAGACATACATACAGGCAGGCAGACAGACATACATACAGGCAGGCAGGCAGACAGACATACATACAGGCAGGCAGACAGACATACATACAGGCAGGCAGACAGACATACATACAGGCAGGCAGACAGACATACATACATACAGGCAGGCAGGCAGACAGACATACATACAGGCAGGCAGACAGACAGACATACATACAGGCAGGCAGGCAGACATACATACAGGCAGGCAGACAGACATACATACATACATACAGGCAGGCAGACAGACATACATACAGGCAGGCAGACAGACATACATACAGGCAGGCAGGCAGACAGACATACATACAGGCAGGCAGACAGACATCCATGCAGGCCAGGCAGACAACATACCGGCAAGACATACAGGCAGGCAGGCAGACAGACATACATACATACAGGCAGGCAGGCAGACAGACATACACATACAGGCAGGCAGGCAGACAGACATACATACATACAGGCAGGCAGACAGACATACATACAGGCAGGCAGGCAGACAGACATACACATACAGGCAGGCAGGCAGACAGACATACATACATACAGGCAGGCAGACAGACATACATACATACAGGCAGGCAGACAGACATACATACAGGCAGGCAGACAGATGACTAGAATATCCCATGCTTGGTCCTATGGAATTTCCATGGTGAATCCCCAGTAGCTTGGGGGTTTATCCCTGGTTAATAACCCTGGTGATCGTAAGTCCCCCATTCAGTAGTTGCACATCCATTTATAAGTCGGTGAACTAACCTACAAACTCCACAAACACTCACCACTTACAAGTCATGGGATGATCCTCCAAGTAATTCCACATATTCGCAAAGATTTCATGGATATTCATCCCATATCATCCAAGTTGGGCAAGAATTCCATCCCCGAAATATATGATATACCATTAAAATAACCATTAAATCACCATTATTATTGGCATATGGTTGGTATATCCCCATGAACTCCCCATTAAATCACCATTAAATCCCCATTTTTGTTGGTTAAATCCCCATATCTTCCGTTGAAACACGCCCCGAGGCCGAGATGGCTTCGCTGGAGCTGCGCTGTGGGCAGCTGATGTCCGCGGAGATCTTGAACCTCACCGCAGAGATGGAGGAGCCACGGTGAAACCGGATGGGATGGATGGAATCGGATGGGATTTTGCTATATTTTGCTTGGAAAGTGCAGGGATTTTTCATGATCTGGAACGAACCCCCGATTTTTTTTAAAATGGAATTCTAAATGATCTAGATGTTCAAACAGTGAAACATGGGGTTTCACCAACATTTCTATGGGATGAAGCCCCCCAAAAAAATTGGCAACAGCACTGGGGTATCTACGGTATTCACGTCCACAGGATAACAGTTTAAAGATGAGGAAGGGATATATCCCTTGTAATCATGTTTGGTTGGTGAATCTGTTGGGGTTACTGCCCTAATCGCAAAAGAAACAATAAACACATGGTTTGGGGTGGTGGTATGTTATCGAAGTGGGTCATCAATATTAAGATCCCAAACATGTAGTTTTTTTTTTGTGTGTGTGTACCATCTGTATAGATGTAAAACTTCTATATTGTGCAGGGGGGCAACAGCCCATCTTCCTATGTTGCCCAACGAAGCTACGGAAGATGTGGTGGATGGGTTCATGGACGCATGAACCTGTACCTGCCCCTGGGCGCATTTAAGTCGCAGCGGGGGGGGGGGGACATATATCTTATCGCTGTTGTTTTATACGGTCAATGTCTACTGTGATTATACCTCTATATATATATATATTGTTACTTTTCATTCTTCGTGTCTGTTTATTGTTGATGTTTTTGCACGTCCGATGCATTTCACATCAGAATTCGCAATGACTGTTCTGAGCAAGTGTGTGATTCATGCTGGATTCGTCAAGGTGGCATGAACTCTTCGGGCAATGCTTTTCTAAGCAAAGTGTGGATGCAACGACCTGATGCCTGAATATACAGAATTTAATGTAGTAATTCGTTTCAGTAAAGTGAAACAGCTGGCCATTTTTCCTGGTCTCACCCGTCGATGTCGTTGTGTTGAACAACTGGCCGCCGTATGGCTTCAATCTTTTCTTCTGAATTTACAGATTTTAATTTTGTAATTCGTTTACGTAATGTGAAACAGTTGGCCTTTTTTCAGGGTTTCACCTGTCGATGTCGTTGTGTTGAAACAGCTGGCCGCCGTGACTGGCCTCATTTTTTATTTTTTTTGTTTCAATCCAGGCAGGTTCGTTCTTTAGGTGTGGTTTTTCTTTTTCTTTCTTTTTATGGTCGTTGGTGAGGTTCAATTGTGCACGTAATTCAGGGGTTGACTGCTTAAGCCGTCCATAGGGTTGACTTGAATCTGGGCCTTTGAGCCTTAACCAGGGGAATCTGCACGTTCATGTGGATGCATCATTTGTTTAACTAGTCCCCCACGGGTCCCCTATCTCATGTGTCCCTGCGTTCTCCCCTCTTCAGGTAGGTTTGGTCCTTCGCGTGCCGAGGTAGGCGTAGGTTTTCGCCGTGTTAGGTTGGTTCAGGCGCTTCCGTCCTTCCCCCCCCTCCGCTGGTCTTGTTCCGTTGTCTGTCGGCCTCCGCTTTTCTTTTTCCTTGCCTTTCCAGGGTTTGCCCGTTCCGGGCCAGGTGTGTTGTGTTGGTGTTCTCTCTGTCCCTCTTCTTTTGCGCTCCCCTCTTTGCGTTCTGGTTAAGTAAATTTCATTTCATTTTCATTGTCATCTCACTTTCATTTTCATTTCATCTGCCCTGCTGCGGTGGGGCGAGTGTGTGTACCATCTGTATAGATGTAAAACTTCTATATTGCGCAGGGGGGCAGCAGCCCATCTTCCTATGTTGCCCAACGAAGCTACGGAAAATGTGGTGGATGGGTTCATGGACGCATGAACCTGTACCTGCAATATATATATATATATAGTCCCGCCCCTGGGCGCATTTAAGTCGCAGCTGGGGGGGACATATATCTTATCGCTGTTGTTTTATACGGTCAATGTCTACTGTGATTATACATCTATATATATATACATATTTATATTGTTACTTTTCATTCTTCCTGTCTGTTTATTGTTGATGCTTTTGCACGTCCGATGCATTTCACATCAGAATTCGCAATGACTGTTCTGAGCAAGTGTGTGCAAACCTTGAAAATTGGGTTCGTTGCAACTAACAAAACATCATTCCTGGATCTTGGTTGATCGTGATTTTTAGAGGGATATTTTTGGGATCATGCAGCAACAAACATGGATTATCAACCTTCAAAAGTGGGGACCGAAACCCAAAACCCCAAAACCCTTCTTATTTGTGATGATGATTGATGATGTTGATGGGTATATGTTGGGGATTTCAGCATCAACAGTGGGTGTTGATGGTTTGTTGATGGTTTGTTGATGGTTTGTTGATGGTTTGTTGATGGTTTGTTGATGGTGAATGGGTCTGTGATGAAAGCACAGGTTGAGTCTCGTTTGCTTCATTTTGTCATTCACATATTTGATTTACATGGTGATGGGTCAAACGCTGTTGTTACCGTGAATCCCAGCGAAATAGCGATGTGACAACCAGGGGATTCCATGGCTTCTGATCGACAGGAACTGGGCAGCAGAGTCGCCTCAAAGGAGGCAGTGGAAGGCGCGTCTGACCTTTGCAGGTTGGCAAATCAACAAAACTTATCACCTGAGAGTGTTGGAATTTATTAGATGAAAAAAATTAGATTGGTAAAAAGTAAATATGCAGATCATCCCCTTCTTTTTTTCAGACTTGAGGATTTTGTGATCACCACCCATGGATGCCACAGACTTTCAGTGATAACCCAACTGGCAGATCTGCAAGTGCAACATGTGGCGCGCTTGGATACTCTGAGCTGCGACATCACGGCGCTTCAGACAGGTACCATGGGGAGCACACTGCCGGGTACTTGGGGCTAAAGTTTCCACTTAAGTGGGTGTATAGTAGTTGTCTTAGGCTTAAATCCCAACTTACTGTATGAACTTATGGGGGTTATTGCCATTGTTCTGTCCACTAAGAAACCCAACTGCACCCACGTAGAAACAACATGTCCAATGACTCTGAGTTTTCATCTGTAGCATGATGGTCTGATGGTTTCCTCTGAGAAAGACCATGTAGGTTCCGATGTTCTCACCAAAACTTGTGACTTCAAGGTGCCATGAGTTGGTCCTAGCATGTCCTAGCCTTACCAGCCTGGCGCAACGATGTTTCAACCAGGCCTGGCCCAGACTTGCATGGACCAGCAGGACAGGATCTAAAACTGCATCGTTTCGCCACCACTAAAGTGATAGTTAAGAAGTTGTGACCCAATTGTACATTTTACATTTACATGGAACAAAGCTAGCTGTAGGAGACTTCTACTTATCAATCAGGGTTGAAGTTCAAGACCTTGCCCAAATTGCGAAGTAACATTTACAAAGATTGGGATAGATTTTGGTAAAATCCGATTTGCTTTTGGTAAATTCAGCGCTTTCCTGAATTTGTTCCCTCCCCTCAGACAAAGGTTTCAATGCCTTTGGCAGCCCAAGCCAAGACCTGAAATCTATGGAATCTGAACTGGAAAAATCCAGAAAAACCGGTGACCCGAGGGCAAGCTTTATACACAAATCCCTTGAGGGTATGGTGGGACAAGGTCAAGCCAGAAACGGTGCAAGACAAGCCGCGCCAGCCCCACGCCTGCGGAGGGGAATTGAATCTCTTGGGGGGCTTCAAATGTCTAAGAAAGGGGAGGTACCCATATTTTTTTGGCCTTTTAACTGCAAACAAGGGTTATGAAGCATGAGATTTTGGGATACTTTGGAAATTCATGTTGAGTACAAACTGATTTTGGGCCACCTAGGGGATGTATGGGTCAGGCCCTTGTGACCCATAGCTATATTACCAAATTGCCGGGCAGGTTGTATGTACATGAGTATGTGTATACGACCATATGTATACATATATAAATCTATATACAACCTTTTCTGTACGATAATATGTATATACCTGTATGTAATGTAATGTAATGCAATGCTATGCAATGTAATGTAATGTACTTAAATGTAATGTAACGTAACGTAATGTAATACAATGCATTGTAATGCTTTGTTATACTGGGTTATGTTCTGTTCTGTTTTGTTTTGAAATGTATGTAATGTACGCAATGCATGTAATGCATGTAATGTATGTAAAGTATGTAATGTATGTAATGAATGTATGTAATGTATGTAATGTATTGTAATGTATGGTAATGCATGTAATGTATGGAACGAATGTATGGAACTAATGTATGAAACTAATGTATGGAACTAATGTATGGAACTAATGTATGGAACTAATGTATGCAATGTACGTAATGTCTGTCTGTCTGCCTGTCTGCCTGCCTGCCTGCCTGTCGGCCTGCCTGCCTGCCTGCCTGCCTGCCTGCCTGTCTGTCTGTCTGTCTGTCTGAATGTCTGAAAGTTTGAATGTCTGTATGTATATGTATGTATGTCAGTATTAATGTAATGTAATGTTATGTAATGTAAGGTATAAAATGTAATGTATATAATGTAATGTATATAATGTAATGTATATAATCTAATGTAATGTAGTGTAGTCTAGTGTAGTGTAATGTAATGTAATGTAATGTACATAATGTAATGTAATGTAGTGTAGTCTAGTCTAGTGTAGTGTAATGTAATTGTAATGTAATGTAATTGCACTTGTACTTGTAATTGTAATGTCATGTAATGTAGTGTAATCTATCTATTGTATCTGTTGTATCTATTGTATGTATTGTATATTCATTGTGTGTACTGTATGTACTGTGTGTATTGTATGTATTGTATGTAGTGTATGTATTATATGTATTGTGTGTATTGTATGTATTGTATGTATTGTATGTAGAGTATGTATTGTATTGTATCGCATTGCATTGCACTGCACTGCATTGCATTGCATTGTATGGATTGTATGTATTGTATTGTATTGTATTGTATTG